AAAACCGAAGTTTAACAAATTTTCCATACAACAAGTTAGTAGCCGTCCTCCTATACCAAAGAACTTGGCGAGGATTCATAAAGGGTAAAAAAACCAAAAAGATTAAAACAAGTAACTGAGAACCTGAAGGGGAATTATGGAGTTGCTTCGCACGCTCATTGCAGCTACCCAATAGTGCAGGAGGCAAGGCTTCATCCTTCTCGATTGCCCTATCCTCCTCTTCTATCGCCTCGAAAACGCTTGCTCTAAGTTCAGCCTAAGAAATGTAGCCATGTAAAATATGTAAATACGTTGTGGATCAACCAGGATTGCACTGTATATCAACAAAAGAGAATCTGAAGAAGGATTCACATGTGACATCATGTTTTGTTTCAATAAACAATATCATCAGGTTTTATTTGCTAATAAATAATTTCTCTTTACCAGAAAAGTTCAAAAGATTCTCTATTACTACAAATCCAACATGGTAAAAGAACCAAACATTTGTTTCAGCTTTTTTTCTACTACACCTCCTCTGTTGTGGTAGTAACAAGTAGCTCGCATGAATGAAAGCAAGTCAAACTATTTTCCAATCTTGTGAGGAAAAAGGCATGGTGGGGAATGAACCTTACACGTCTAGGATACAAGGTAGCAACTCTACTAGTAGGTTACCATTTAATCCTAATTGTCCTGCATATCCAATCTTTTCTCTAAATGTTTGAGCCTTAAATTAGGTTTAACCCCTTCAAATCCATCAATTCGCACTTGTTCAAGCTAAGTCACCCTAACTGAGCAACGGAGGCAAATAACTAATTGATTTCTTCCCATATGTCCAAGCCTTGGCAGACAGAGTTACCTAGTATCCGCGCTGGTGGGAGTTGGAAGATATCCAATGGAAGTAGTCAAGGTGCGCACAAGTTAGTTCGGACACCACGGTTATAAAAAAAAAATTAGTCACCCCTAAGTGAGCGCAATAATATCCTATTCTTTTGCTCCCAACTTTGGGATTTAGATCCCTCAGTGATTCATTTGTCTGCTGACTAGCCCCAAATAAACCTAAAAGGTAGGATGAGCATCAAAGGACATATGCTCTTTTTTTTTTTGATAGGAAAGGACATATGCTCTTTCTAGATAAGTTATGCATAATTTGTTCAACGAAAAATGCAGCAAGTGTAAGGAAAAAAGTATACATGCTGCAACCCGTCAAAATTCTAATATTTTAGCTCCTTGAAGATGCATAAAACAGTTAAAGCAATTAAGTTAGAAACAAGGTATTCATTTCTACACATTAAATCACTTAAACTGTGCTTTGCATTACCCAGATGTTTTATAAGCTGGTGACACCTTCTTGTGTGCCCTTATACCCAACTTTTTGCAACCAAAAATTTTAATCTTAGACTTAAAATTCACAAAGACTCAATTTTTCAATTTCTATTTTCTAGCTAATAAACTATGGGAATTAGCTATTCATGACCCCAATTTTCAGAACAGGAAAAATTACATCTGCATACATAATGAATCAAGAAATATCTAATTACAGCTTCGTCGGCAAGCCCAAGCCATACCCAGAAAAGAAAAATGTACAAAATTTGGAAGCACATAACACGTAACCACTCGATCTGATCGAGAAGAAAATTCACAGAACAAAAAATGAAAATGCAGAAGAGAAGAATTGTTTGTTCATACTCGGATCTTGGCAAGGACGCCTTTCTTCTCTAGGGTTCGGGTGACGAGGGTTTTGAGGTCCATCATTTCTCTTGTATAATCGTCCATTTTCTACTCTGTACTGAAACTAGAATTAGAGATGTTTGATATTTTTCATATGGTTTCTCTTCTCATTGAAGGGTGATGTTTGGCATATTTTGATATGNACCCCTTAACTAGGTTTTTTACTAATACTAACTAATAGGCTTTCAGAAGCTTTTCCACACAAAGAGGGGAGGAAGTGCTTGCTGCCAACTTGCCAGACGAGCGGACATCTGAGCTCAGCAGCGCATTTACTATTTGGAGATGGATGGCGCCAGACAGGGTAAAAAGAAGGATTTTTTTCCATTAGCCGAGGAAAGAAGTAGCAAAGGAATATCGCTACCGTGGGAAAAAAAGAAAAACGTAGGATAGGAAGCTCTATTTGATCGAAGGGATGGCTAAAAGGCCAAATCCGGCTAAAAACAAAAAGAAGAGATCAAGGAGAGGGAGCTAGACTCACACTTGCAAGAGAGCGACCGGCAGATCTAAAACAGCTATAGTAAAGTAGAACGAAAGTACCTCCCAAAGGTTCTACCTTTTCTTGTGCGTTCGGGAATAAATAGAAAGTTTCTAAATGTATAGAAGACTCTCGATTGATTGGTTGTAATGTTCACGAGGTTGTATATAATCCAATGTTCAGTGATATGACTTTCCTACTGACTGAATTGCTTGAATTAGTTGAAGGTGCGGAGTCTTCTTCTTTTGATTTGAGACGAATTCATTTTTCTACTGAAAGTGCTTTTGATAGGGAATAGGGAAAAGCCTTGCCTTATTCAAGAGTACCAGGAAGGAGAAGAATAAGCATTACCTCTGTTGAAGGAAGAAGCCCCTCCCTTTGCTTATTTATTCTTCCTGGTCTTCGGGTCTCATCTGAACGGCTCGCTGCCTATTTAGTTAGATTTTTAGTTTTGATTCCAGAACAGAACTAGAGATCCTGGCCCCCTCCCTTGAAAGCTCCTGGTGCTGCGACTATCACCGGTAAGTTGCGTCGGATCAACATCGGGATTAAAATAAACTGCAAAAGCAACTAAGTCAACGCCTATTTGCTGTGGATCCACTGGCCCGGACGCTTGAATCTATTCCACCGCAAACTACCGAATATACTACTGCAGGATCTTCCGCTGCTTTTGTTGTTATTGCTCTCACCTGTCACTACGCCACCTCAGCAGCTGGGACTCCCTAACCTTTTCTATCTATCTTTAGAAGTAGGGCGAGTGAGTCCGTTCCTTTCCCGTGAAGGTTTTGGGATATGTGACCAGATGCTTCCTCCAGATCTAACGTCTCTATCAACTAAATTCTCTTTTCTTCACCGGATCGATACTAACTTACCTACTCCTGCTCCTACCGGATCCAAGAGGGCCGATGCCCGATTCCCCGACCCATTACTCATTCCTTCCCGACTCGATAGGGATTGCAATCTCGAGAGAGGGAGCAACAATTGACCTCCTACAATAGGTAGATGGGGTGGGCTACGATGGATACAGTGAAATCAATCCTTATTCCGCACTCCCTCTCACCGGCCTGAAACATATATAAATCATGAATTCTTCAGAGCGGGCCGGCAGGCCGGGCGTACGGGGACCGTCGAAGAAGTGCCTCAACGCGCCGCAGCCACTACTTTGACTCCTTTTATGCAATTATGAACTCCACGGAACTTTATCAATTCCAACGCAACTTATCCTTTTGGAGCTGACGTAACAAACTACGCGAGCCTCCGCCTTTTCTGGAAGCATTATGTTGAGTCACTCCAAGAGTAGAATCAGCAGCTCACCTCATTTTTTACCGGAAAAGGGAGCTTTCGGAAAAGGGTAGCCTTGTGTGTAAGCACAGCAATGAACCGCGGCGAACCCTAAGACGACCTATCTAAGATTAGGGGGGGATCCTCAGTAGTGGTGACCCTTTCACTCTTCCACGGACTGATACATGTACCGAATGCTCATACGGGTCCTGATCGGAACGATTGAAGAAAGAAAGAGAATGGTGGCTCCTTTCGCCCAGGGGACATCGTCGGAGAACAATGTCGGGGACAGGGTGAGAACCTTCCGTACGCCCAGTCGCTTCTCGTGGATTTTCATAACCCTGCTGTGCAAAAATGGGTCGCAGACCCAAAACCAAAATGACCCCCCTCATGTGTACGAACGAGATATCCAGCAACAAGAAGAAGGAAAAGGATTGAATAGAGGAACTCCC